CATTACATTATAGGTTCCCTGTGGAGTCTAAAGAGGTGCACAATAAGTTGCAGTGTGCCAGGGGAAGATGTTATTAATGATGGTATGCTGTACCTGCGGATGGTGGAGAGCTGGGCCTGCTGCTGCACCTCCTCAGCGAACACCTTCAGCTGCTGCTGGAAGGGCTCTTTGTGGTAGTTGGGGTGCACGTTGTCATAGTTTGGCACCACAGGGGACAGGAACTTGGGACAGGCGAAGCTGAACTGCTCCTCAAACACCTGCAGGTCTCTGAGATACAAATAAATAGAACATGTGCGTCAGGTTGCTGCCTAAGGGTGCCACAGTAAATACCAACACTACATTTATAACAACTTATAAACACAGATACATGTTTTTCATTGTACAGTGTCATAACATTACAGTTCATTATCAGGCCTTCTGACCAATATAACAAAACTCAAATATACACACAAATGAAATGAAGGCAATAAACATTGACACAGTGAGACAAGTTGCTCCATCACAGTGCCATGAGTCGCCCTCTCACCCTTTCTGCATCCTCAGCATCTTGTCTCCGTACTTCTCCCTCAGCTGGGTGTGGATGCTCTCATCGATACGCATCGGGTACATGGTGAGAGCGATGGCCAGCAGACCATGCATCTGCTCGTTTTGTTTGTTAACCTAAAAAAGATATCATACAAGTATTATGACACCGGTTTCAACTAAAATACTTTTGTCCTCAGGGGTTTAAAGACTTCAGAGAATTCATGTTTATGCATCACAGAATGTTGGAGGAAATCGACGACTACATTTCAGTTTTAGTCCAAACTTAACAACAATGAGTACTTTTATGAACATGTTCTATACATGGAATTCATAGGAGATTCCACAGCTAAAGCTAAATACAAAAACGTTTTCTAAGAAGCACAGCTGTGACTGACCATCTCATATTTATACGTGGACCTCTGGAACATGTTTCTCGTCCTCTGGATGTAGAGCAGGATGTTGGCAAATACTCGAATGGCATCCTGGTAACGCCTCATCATCAGGTAGGCAAAACCCACATAGTAATAAGTGGTGATCTGGCACTCAGGCACACGGGAGTACATACTCTGAAAGACAGGAAACTAAATATATGAAGGGATGCACTCTAAACCAAGAGATTATAGGTCAAAGAATACTGAAAAAATATCTATAACAATATAGTTGGCTCAGCGTATTCTGTAGTATCATTATTAGTAATACTCAGTCTCTACTTTCAGCGCCTTACCTTCTTGTTGAGCTCGATGTTCTCCAGGACTTTGATGGCCTGGTAATAATCCCCGAGCAGAGAGTGAAGTCTCAGCAGCCCCACCAAGCTGAAGTATCCCAACATCTTGTACAGGGAGTGACGCCCGTACTCTCCGGCCACACTCTCTGGGTCTCCTGCGACACACATAAAAAACATGTTAGCTGCCTGGTATTACACACACACACACACACACACACACACACACACACTGAGAACACTGATGTTCCCATGTTGAGGTCATTTCCTCAGAGGAAGCAGGAAACAATATAGGGAACTTTAACTGCATCGTAAGACTGCACATTTAAATAATTCAGTATCTGAGCTTCACCATATATTGCCATCTACAAATGTCTACAGAACATCCTCTTTACCTCCGCTGGTGTAGATCTCCAGCTGGCGGTTAATGTTGCTCTTGTCCACGAGGGAGTGGAGAACGTTGAGGACGCTGTGGACGTTCCAGATCTTTGGGTTGTTTCTCAGGAACTCGATCTCCTCCTCTGACTTTTTGGCCGTCTTGCAGCGGTACTGACTGAAGGACTGGAACTGTAGGGGAAAGAGTGTCATTCATATTGTTGTTAAATAGAACCTGCTTTCTTTGTGACATTGACCATATCAATAAGCATAAAAAAGGAACCTTGAGAGAAGTATGATGAAGTCAGTTTGAAATACCGCATATCTAGTACAAATCCTGGAAATGACTGGCAACTACTATTCGGTCTGGTTTTTATTCTTGCGATTCTTACTTGTGTGCGTATGTGTTCTAAACTGAGGTAACATTAAAACATTTTAAATTGCAGTGTACCTGGTAGATGAACTCATCGATGATGTCCCACAGCCATTGGTTAGGCAGCTCCAGGGGGGCGGGACCCTCAGCATCTGTTAAAGGCACGCACATTCTCATTTGACTTGTCATTCATTGGGCGTTATTTTACACTGATAACCACAGGGGAGAGGGGAGAGGGGAGAGGGGAGAGGGGAGAGAGGGGAGAGGGGAGAGGGGAGAGGGGAGAGGGGAGAAAAGGGACTGTTCTGGTTACTTACTGAGAATGTAATTGAAGAGGTTGCAGTAGTTGTAGTAAGACTCAAAACGCTGGTCCAAAGTCGGTCCACCCTGATGATGAAAGAAACAATGCTTAGAACAAAATACTGAAGATGTTTTCTAACATTTGGAAGGCTCATTAATCTGGATGGAGATTTGTATTAGTGTTTGTATTGAGCGGTTACTCACGCTGACTTTAGCATAAACGTGTCTGTAGTACAGCTCCTTATAGAGGATGAGGAACACAGCATCTGTAGGAGGCAACAGGCGGTCAATGACATTCAACATTCTCACCGTAGCACTTTAGTTGTAAAAACACATTTAAGATTTAAAAAAAAAATCAAAATTCACATAGAGGGCACATGGAACTGTCTAGATATGCTTAAAGAAATGTATTCACAGTTAACATAATTTGTCTTATTTCCTCAGCTAGAATAATGGCCGATGAATAAAGGTTACGAGTTGGAGAAGGTGGGCCAAACTTCATGAAAATATCAGATTTAACTTAATCGCATCACATCCAGTACATTTATCACACTTTTTTTTAAAACAATTTAAGAATGATAAAATAAATGTTACAATAAGAAATGTGATGTCTATGCAAAGGCAAAACCAATATAGGTGAACTATGACAAACTCACCATTGCCAACCAGTGCTGCGATGGCCTCAGCCTCTGGCCAGGGAGTATTCTTGAAGAAACGGTCAGTCAACTTGTTCCAGCTGCACAGGATCAAAAAGACAAGGATGAGATGCTCATCACACACACAGTGTTAATGTCTCTTAAAGGATGCAGCAGCATAACCACCACAGGGAGAGTTGAGTTTACCTGTTCTCGTAGACGTCCTGGATCTCATAGATCTTCTGCTCGATGCTCTCGCTTGACACACGGTTTGACTGCAGCTCATAAACTTTCTGGTCGATTAAGTCAGAGGTGGTTTTGTGGAAGTACTGCAGAAAGTTCTTGATCACCTCTGGGATGACACTGTAGGTCTGCTGCTCATACTGCCTCTCATAGGCCAGGTCAGCTTTGGGGTCACCTGCGGGGAGATGGGATAATGAGCAAGAGACACCAACACAGAGAGGTGATCTCATACATTTAGATAAACACTTGAGGGTATACTAACCGGTGTGCAGGTCGGGGTCGTTTGAGAACGCGTACGGATCATACGGTCCAGCAGCAACAGGAGTCTAAAACATAATGTAACAGATGCTCAGTTAATATCTGTCAATGAGGCAGTAATTATAATAATTGGGAAACTAACCTAAAACGCTTCCCTTTACCCCAAAAACAACACAACGTTACATAAGTGATGTTATGGTTGTATTCTCTTCAGAAACTAGGCTACAACAATCAATAATATCATGCTGGCTCATCGAAAGCTAACGTTACTGTTATGCCGGTGGTGGTAAGCTAGCTATGCAGTTAGCTATCTAGCTAGCTAGCGGCCTACCGCTGCTTGGCGTATCGTTGTTATTATCATAATAACATTTATATATCTTTAAAACAACAATGTATACTGACTTCCTCCTCCTCTTGGTACGACATGGTGCTGTTTTTTAGTCCAAGCTCATATGACGGTGGAGTGAAAAACGAGGATGTGTGCTCGTTTAGCTAAAGCCGCTAAACCACGCAGCTGAGGTGGAAAGAGACCGGAAGCGGAAAGACAAGGCCGTGAAACCACGAGAAAAATAATAGAGTGAAGCATTGTGGGAGATTGAGTGTCTGGAATATACATTAGAATCGTTGGGTCCGTGAACAGGTTTTGAGCGTTTGAGATTAATTATGTTTTCATTTCTGTACTGCAAATGAAAAAGTGGGTTACAATTCCTTCAAATAGCATGACAGATAACATTGTGCTGGTTGGACAAAAAGCACGAAAATATTTATATATTTAGTTTTGATGTGTTATGTGGTCGCGAGCATCATTGGTTTTTATTTTTTGTCTGGCCTACACACGGTTTTTTGCTCTCTGAATATGCTAACCAGTGTCCTGGTAGCACTCTTCGACTGGCTTAACCTCCCTTATTTAAATATCCCTAAATGATTTACTGCCGTTGAAAAAAAGTTTTTTTAAAAAGTGTGATTTAGAAAAAGTATAGCGTTCAATTGGGAAATGGTTATACAATTATAGAGCAGCTCATAGAATAAAAAGTAAATATGAAAAATGGAAATGGGTGATGGTATTGTAGTTAACATGCCCATGGATGTGAAAGCTTGTAATTACCTTTGCATACCGTTAGGTGGCGTTATAGTAGCAATGTAGCCGACCAATCTCTCCATTAACCTACTGTAATAATGAAGGCACATATTTGGGAAAACTGAAGTCAACAAGAGCCTTTAGAATTAACCCTAAATAAAATATGCCTCTTCAAATAGACCTTAATATTGATCATTGCATTAATATAATCACAGCTCTAGTGCAATATGTGGTTTAAATACATTTAAATTGCATGTTGCTAAATTAGTGTTACTCATATAGGACCTATACCAGATTGTATCTTGTTTGTGTATTGTGGTGACTTAAATGATTTTGTGGAACTTACTTTGTAGAATGTTATACTAAACTGAGAGAGAGTCGAGAAAAATCTAAATTTTATATTGAAGTGCGTGTGCGCGTATGCGTGTGTCTACTGGTATGAGAGTGTGCGCGCAGACAGTATTTATTCTTCTTGCTGAGGCTCTCAGCAGACAGTAGCCTGTCTGATCCCCTCTCTCGAACATCCCCAACAAACAAAAGTATATTACTTGCTGCTGTTTTTTAAGGAGAAGCTAAATAAAAGAATACCTGACGTGTTTGCCTCAGCTACCAGAAGCAGACGCAGTCCCTCTAAACCTACACCTGACGGCTATAAGGAACTACCTGCATCCGATAAGGAACCTAGTCGACAAAATCAAGTGTGTCGTGAGGGAGGGGGTGTGGAGAAAAGAAGTCGAATGGGAGAGAGGGAAAAGGGAGAAGAGACATCGAGGGAGGGGAAAAGGTCAGGGACACGGGGGGTTTATCGCACTGCCAGAATTAAGGAGAGTGTCTACACCAACGGTTTGGCAGTCGAAACCAAGGAGACGAAGTGAAATACACCAGCAGTCCAACACTTACTGTTTTCCGCAAGCACTACTGTGGATTTTTAAACCTTATCGACAACTTCCAAAAACTATTTGTGTGCTTTGTTGAGGTCCAGGCAACACAGAGGGCACTTTTGGACCGTGCGTAATTTGGAGAGTGTATTGCCACACTGCGTCAGGATGCACGTCTGCCCGCTGCTGTTCATCCTCTGTCTGCTGTGCGCTGGACGCGCTCAGAAGTTCTCTGCTCTCACGGTAGGAAGAAGAGCCATTCAACTTGCAGAATATGTCTCACTAATGTCCAGGGTTAAAAGAAAGTATTTGAGTAAAGGATATGCTCCTTCATGCGTAACATTTCAGAAATCCCTTTTGTCAAGGTTTTTTTTTCTTAATCAGTAAGTACATATGACAGGCATTTATCCTCCTTTTTGTATTTATTGTCAGTGTTACCTCTGATAACCTTTATTAAAATGACCAAACTTTTATTGAAACTATTTAACAAACATAATTATATATTAACAGCATTATGGCCCATGCTGACACTATGATTTTTAGGTAATCTCTCTTCAAAATAAGTTTCACTATTTTTTCATATCTGACAGATTTCAGGCTGGTTATAAGATAGATTAAAAAACCTAACAGATTCCGAGGAAGTACTGGGAAATGAGGTCTCTATTTAAACTCCATTTCACTGTGTTTTAAGGTCTCTGCAGGCAGAGGCTGTAGTCTGTTCAGAGCCTCTACCTGCCTGCATCCCTGCTCTCTCCTGTAGTGCCAGGGCTCTGCAGGTTACTCTCCAAAGCACATGGCACTGTTTACAGCAGCAGCAGAGCTTTGCATAGAGTCCATTCACTGCATGAGAAAGTGCATCTTAGGAGCACACATAAGGGGAATTTCATGGCCACTATCAAGTGCAGGTACAGTGCTGAAGGAGGAATAATAGAGAGCGGAATGTGCACTGTCAGAGACTTCACCTCTTGATTTAGAGTTCGATGTGACAGCAGCCTCCCCCGGCATCGTTATTTATGGTCCGGGTAAGGATGCCTTAATATCCAATTGGAGACAAATAGCCATGAGTCGTTAACCTGCAGGTGAGGGGTCGGAGATCCTCTCTCCCTGACGGCACTATGGAGATGTGGAATGTGGGAGGAAGTGTTGTACTGAGCAGATGCTCACCCTGTATTTTCACCATGACACACACATTTACACATGTATGTTTCTTTATTGAGATGGCATGGGTAGTAATACTTAGCCATTTGTGTAAAGTTAACACAGATACGACACAGAGTCCACACTTCTCAAGACTGCAAGAATGAGAAACCTATTTCTTTTCATTGCATGTTTCAGTGGTAACTGTGTCTGCCCCACTGTGGTTCATTTGTTGGAACGGCACATGGAGCACTGAACTTTTTTTATAGTACTTTGTGCGAGATTAATTGCTTATTGTATGACACAGGAGAGGTTATTGTTGGTTTCAAGGAAATGTCTCCATGTGATATTTTGTGCATATTTGAGGTCGAACAGGCAGTTAAATATATGGATGAATGCCCAGGTTATTCATGAGGCAGACTTTTCCATGGTTTATGGAAGTCTGAAATAGTATCTGAAATGATGAGGGAGCATTGGCTGCCTCTCTTTCAAACCTGGTGAAAGCCATTTCAGTATAACATATGGACTCCATTGCCCCCTATGCTTTCATACAATTGTGCACCTGCTCAGTGATTTTTCTTTGTCACTTGACTATCACTGGCCTTTCACACCCCCTTCTTTTCTTCTTAACATCTTTCACAGCAATTAAATGGCTTTTCCTTTGATTGAGTTAGTAGCCTGGTTAAAGGCTGTCACTTTCTTCCCTTTCCACCATGCTGGAAACTAATGATCCCCTTTGCATCCTCGCGTCCACGCAGGAAACTCCCGCCAAGGCCATTTAACACGTTTGCCACGGCTCTCAGCTTGGGCCCCTATTGACCCTGCGGGGCTGTGGTGTGAGGGGCCTCTCGGGGCGCTGGAAGCGGGGGCCTCCTAGCCCAGAGGGCCCTTATCAGCCCACAATGTGCTCACTGCTGGAGTCTCGCCTTCTCCGTACTCCTTTCAATCCCACAATGCTGCAGAACCAGGGGGAGGTAATTGGATTTGATTTGTATGCTGGTTTGTCTTGGAAGAAAAAAAAAGTTTCCCTTACACTCCGCCAGTCTCGCCCTCTCTCGCCCGTCTCTTGTTCCTTTGCCAACCTCTTGTATTATTTGAGCAGATTTAGAGAGAGATCACGCAAAGAATACAAAAATATTCCTGAAAACATACAAATAAAGAGAAAGAAAAACAGAGATGGAGAGCTGTCTGAAAGTAAAGGAGTTGAATCACAATATGTGTTCTGTCTTGTATGAGTCTGCTTCCATGATAAATCGGGGTGTATGCTTGTGATGCATGTTGCAGAGGCGTAGACCATCGATCACTCTCCACCATGTTGCTGTGCATGGTGATGTTGCCGGCCTGGAGAGGCAGGAATGAGACATCATGGGAATGTCAGGGCTCTGCCGCGGCCTCGCCCATCCATCACCACAGACCAAACACTAAGAGATGTGCAGCCGACAGCTAACTGCCATTAGCAGTACACAAGAGGAAGAGGTCCTCAACACACCATCCGTCTCACGCTTCTTCCTCTCACTGGCTCTCACATCTTATTTGTTCTCCTCCTCCTAGTGTGGCCAACTGTGCTTTTGAAATAAACACTTGATAGAGAATCTGGGTGGCTGATTTCATAACTGTGTTTTTTCCACGCTGTGTTCTTGGAGCTTTATCGTCAACATGCAGGCGCTCAGCTGTGTGCTTTGCAGTGGACATCTAGCAGGATGCTGGGCGGCTGAATGAATCAGTTTGGGTTGTCAGTCTGCTGGCTTGCGGGGGCTTATGCCGACCGTGCTGGTGTAGTGTGAGCACGGGGGTAGCCAGTACGAGCCGTGGCGAGACTGGCGGACCACCACCAACCATAGCTGGACGCACTCAGACTCCATCAGAGCAGGGACTGGCTGCGGTCAAACACCCTCACACCAGCCTGTCACGCCTGCTAGACTTTATGTGAAGGGGTGAGCTGTGAGTGACAGAGTGGAGGGTGAGAGGAGGTCAACTCCACACAGGGATGTCCTAACTGTTGTGGGAGGACAGGGGGAGAGGGAGGGGGGGTACCGACGGGAAACTGTCAGTCAGATGCAATGAAGCAAACAATCCAAGAAACTCAGAGACACTAACAAGGAGGGGCAGGGTGATGTTAAACTCCTAGTTTTTCCAGATAAATGGACAAAGAAATGTTTAGCTGGAAAAAGAGAAATAAAGTGTCCCTATTACAAAGCACTATAATAATGAAAACTGTTGCTTAGTTAATGAAAGTCAATTTGGCATTTGTTGGTCACCCAAGTTGGTTAGAAGTCTTCAAACCAACCTCTCTCGCATTCAAAGACAGGAAGTGACAGTTTCTTCAGGAATTAAGTTTATATTGTTTAAAAACAGCATACCTGTCATCCAGTGGTAGTGGTACCCAACCTTTTTGGCCCTTAAACAGAAGCAATTTCTTCATTACAGATAGTAGCCTTAATCTGGAGAAGAAAGGGATTTATGTACCTCTCATGTTGTTCAATTTGAATGATTTCAGAGGCTAAGAAACTCGTTTTCCGGGGTGTTGGCCTAGCAATTAAAGACTTGGTAGGCAGCTTTTATCTTTGGGCAAACATTCCATAATAACCTTTCACATTATAAATCATGTTGTCGGAAAGTTATGTGCGTCCTCTTGTTTCCGTGTAAAGCCCTTAACGGGACTCTTCTCGGGTCACAGGTGACCAATCACAGGTCGTTTCGGAGAGACAGCGTTCCTTTTGCTGTTCTACTGCAGAAGAGCATACGTCCTTCAGATGGTGAAAGCGTGATCAATGTTGGGAAATACTGCAGAAAAAGTTGCTGTTGCACTCCAAAGCAAAGGCATTTATGACGGCAATAAAACATGTGTCAATGTCGGTGAAGCACTTCACAGATTGAAGGGAAATGTTGCTAATATTTGAGCTTTCTGCCAAAGGTTCAAGGCCACGTGGATAAAGAGCCTTGGATCCAAGTAAATAATGGCTGGATGAAAATCTAAATTTGGATGATGTGAAATGAATTACTTATACTATAAGATATTTCTGTATGAAGTGTATGAGTGGTAGGCTTAAGAAACCATCAATTGGGATTCTTGTTCACAACCCCCCTTTCTCTCTGCCCCATTTCCTATCATTACGTTTTTGTTGCTATCAAATACAGGCAGGAAAAGCCTTGAAAAACAACATGACCCCCATCGTTTTATTTTACTTTCACATCTTGTGAACCCTCAGATTTATCTTGGGACCTTTTAGCGGATCCCAGACGACTAAAGGGGCTGAAGACAAATATGAACCCTACTGCTGTGCCCAAAATAAATGCAATACTTCATCAGTTCCCTTTAACCACTGGAAATAGAAGCATTCAGCATTCATATACTGTTAACCCCAAAGGAGGAAGAGGGATTACTCTCCATATGTCTGTCTAGAAAGATGGATGAGTCTTGAGACTTGGACACAGGCTGTTCTTGTGAGGCAAACTGCTTTCCAGGATGCTTTTTGTCTTCTTCTCATGACAACACATCATTTTAAAAAGCCTGGGAAGAAAGAGCTTGTAAAGAATAAGTGTTTTGAAAAATATTATTCAATTGAAAAGATTCATCTTCCCCTCCCTCGCGGCTCCTCTTCCGATGTGTTTGAACGGGCCTCTCCTCTCTGATCCCCCCCCCCCCGGGAAGATTTATGAGTGGGGTTGACAGAGTGGGTTGTAACCCCCCACCCCCTGGCCCAGGGCGATGCTGCCTTCACTGCCAACCCTCTTCCAGGTGCATGCAGCCCTGCAGCCCTGCTGGTCTGAATGCAGGGGGCTGCCATCAAACGTCATCTCTCACTTCATTTGTAAGATGTCAGACATAACAAATTTCTTTATTGGTGATCATCCCACCCTTTTCATGGATGTGGTTTTTTTTCTTGCCATACTTTATCTTGCCATGCCCTTTCTTTTGATAAAGCATAACAGATTTGTATGGCTTACCTTTAATTGAAGGCTTTGATTCTCTGCTTTGTGCCATAGATTGATGTGTGTCTGTGTGTGTGTGTGTGTGTGTGTGTGTGTGTGTGTGTGTGTGTGTGTGTGTGTGCGTGTGCGTGTTTTTCTTTTGTGCAAATGTTACCATCATAACAGAAGTCAAAAAGAGAGCAGATAGGTGTTACTCTTTAGATATGACTGTCTTAAGACAGCACCTGCGTAAGCATATAGAGTTAGTTTTTTTCCGCTCAATCCAGCTCATTATATCACCCAAATGAATGAATCAAGCTAACTTTATGAAAACCCAAGACTCAAACTGTAGCAGCACAAAGCTCCTTGACATCTAGTTGATTCAGCCACTCATCATTCACCGTCTTTTCATTCATTGTAGCAGTCACAGCTTGTTGCCAACCCCCTTCACCACCGCCGCCGCCCCCCATTGTGTGGCCTGGCGAGGGGGTTTCATACCACGGTGGCAGATACAATGGTGGCATTGACACAGGTGATCCGATGCGTACAGCCAGGAGTCTCTGTCCTTGTTTCTCTTTTCATGGCTGAGTAAAACATCCTCAGGAGCGATTCCAGGTGAATACCTGTGCAGGTGTTGGCACAGACAAAGAGAAGGGGAAGCGTCAGTCAAGACTTCTCCAGCCCTTGAGACGGAGACAAAGCATGGCTGCACCCTGACAGGCGTGTAGTAACACACTGCCTCATCTCTCTGTCCGTGTGTTGCAATGCTTTCTAGTGTATTCATGGGAAAGAATTGCTTATGAATGTCCTGATAAAAGTTGAACAGAATTAACCATTTGTATGGCTTTGGAAATGGACACCTGTTTTTATAGAATGCATTTTCTCCTACACATGTCAAACCTTAGTCTTCATGAATCCCTCCAGTATCCCACCTGTTGTTGTTGTTGAGATTAAAGTGTTTTCATTACATTTCCAAAATATGTCTTATTACACAACTGTTTTCTTACTCCTGCAGTTCCTGCGGGTGGATCAGGATAAGGAGTGCAACATGGAATGCAGCGGAGCTCCTCGCAAGCCCCTGTGCGCCTCCGACGGCAGGACCTTCACATCTCGCTGCGAGTTCCTCCGAGCCAAGTGCCGCGACCCCCAGCTGGAGGTCATCCGAGGGCCATGCAAAGGTCAGGTCATGAGTCACGCTTCAGCGCCGCCTGGCTCTCTCGAATGCGCAGAGGGGGGTCACAGGAGAAACTTGTGGAAACTTAAATTCATTTCAGCATCATTGATTATTTGAGTGCTGGGACGACGAGTGGGGTTGACACAGTGAGAGCTGGAGGGGGGGTTTATTGCTCCATGGCTGGTTTCATCACTTCACACCAATTGTACTGATAAAGAAATCGTATGTTGATTTGTCAAATGAATTAGTTTGAATGGAAATGATTTATTTATACTTTGTTAGAAATTCGAGGACCTACGACTTCCTCAGTGATATGAAATGGCTTGTGCTCGCTAAAATCAAATTATTATGCAGAGTCAAGGGCATCTGAATGAAATCTCTTGACAATAATTAATGGCTTCATTTTCAGCATACTAGATGTAAAGCCGTATGTATGTGACCGATGGAAGAGTGGAGATGAAAAGCAAAAGGGGAAGGAGAGCCAATGAGGTCAGGCAGCTCACAGACTCCCTCATTGTTGGACCCTTACACCCCAATGCTGAGGGCCCGAACCTTCTCACCCCCGCCCCACTCACTAACTCTATACTGCGACTTCATCGCTCTACAGACTGGGGACAATGCCCCATTCTTACACATTTCAATATTAGATCACTAATGCAGGGATCGAGTGCGAAAGGGTTTGCTTAAAAAGAAGTCTCATATGATGGAAAAGCATTCCACGATGTTATGCCCGTTCTGGGTCACTATGGCGACGTCTCTAAGCGGACATCTGGATGTGGCGGACAGCGCCTTGACACAGAATAGAGGATTCCAGCTAGGAAGCTGAAAGGGACGAGAGTCCATGAAAGTCGTATTGTATACGTCAATAACATCGGGTCTATAAGAGCTCGGACCCCCCTCTGCTTCTGGAGGGCCGGGGTGAAAGACACAGCAGCAGCAGCCGAGTCAGCAGCCGAAATAAACCAGGGCCGGTCTGCCCTACCAGCACAGAGATGGGATTGTGTTTGAGGATGGTGAGCCTGGCACCACATTTGTTTTCTATCACTGCGCTCGGATGATTCAAGTGTCCTGTCATTTTTTCCACCACTTTTTTTGTCCGAGCCCCCAGAGGAAGACGATGGTTTGGGGTTTTTCCCCTGCAGCTAACTTTAGAGCTCCTCAACTTGCTGTTTTCCTCCATCCGGAACATCCAGTGACAATGATACACACACACAGACACACACACACTAGGCTGAGAGAAACCAGTGCACATTCCCCTGCCTGAGTCTAATGGCTAATCTACTGTTGGCTCTGCCAGCGCCATGCAGCCTCCTGACCAAACTGTTTTTGAACTTGGCATGAGTCGTTGTTTTAATGTCATCTGAACCTGCCTGGCATCTCAGCTTATGTGTCACACCAAGTTCCCATCAAACCCATCGCTGCCCAACATTTCCTGAGAGTTTGCACAGCTGGTGTTTTGGCCAGGTGAGATGAAGCAGCTGTGGAATGACAGGATGAGCCATGGCTTTGACAGAGAGATGCGAAAAGACATGAGGTGCTTATAGGTGAAGAAGTTGCTGACCAATATTTATGTCGACAAATAGTTAGAGGACATCTCGAACTGTACAGAGCAGACGGTCGAGGTTTTTAAACAGACATTAAGGAAGGGTCATGTTTTCCTCGTGCATCAGCCCTTTTCTTGGGTGCCTGGAATGTTCTACAGGAGCTCAGTAATGGCTTTACCACCAGGCACTGAGCAGGCTTGTCTGACTTGCTCCTAATGAGGCCGGGGGTGTTGGTTCTATTCCCAGCCACACAAGTAACGCACGCTTCCGAAATGTCTTGAATTGTTTCCCCTCCGTCTCTCCTCTCTCCCTGCATATTTCTTTCATTCCCCACCATCTGTGAGATTCAACAAATCTTCCCCTGACTTTTCAAAGTATGTGGGGTTTAATAGTTCATAGAAAAACAGTTGAGCTGTGGATGGAATCATGGGTTTCTGTGATATTTAGTGATACCGGTGATTTGTGGTGCTCCTCAGATACGTCCAGATGTGTTGCAGAGAAGAAGTACACAGAGCAGCAGGCCAAGAAGCTCTTCCCGCAGGTCTTTGTGCCTGTGTGCAACCCTGATGGCACATATAGCGAGGTAACAAAAAAACTCAACATATATGATGTTCGTAACTTCTTTTTTTAATATGAGGCAAAGCTCTCAACTTCTGAGACCACAGAGAAAAAAAGCGAAAATTAGCTTAGCTCTTTTCCCCTGCAGGAATTGAATTGTATATTATGAATTTCTTTGATTTCAAGGCAGATTTCTCTATTTGCGACATTTTATTGTGAAAAATGGTGACATATTATGAGAAAAAATGTAATTCTTGAATCCCATGTTTACACCGTCCAATATTTTATTCTCCTATATTCCATTACCTAGCTTGTGCTGACTTTGTTTACATGCTGTTTGATTACAGGTTCAGTGCCACAGCTACACTGGATACTGCTGGTGTGTCAACCCCAACGGCCGACCCATCAGTGGCTCAGCAGTGGCCAATAAAAAACCCCGCTGCCAAGGTGGGTAAAACCCCAGTCTTATAAAGCAAAATGTAAATAGTTATGCACACTGTATTTACAAGTCAGTGCCGTATTACAGGCATCGCATTTTGTAACAAGACCGATGTATGACATGAAAAAGAATGGCTGATCGACACCAGTACGCGGTTTCTGTAATTGTGTAAAACAAGGATGATCAATTGAATTCAGCAAAGCATGACATTGTGTGTTTGTGGGGGGTGTAATCGTGAGTCCTGTGGGAAAGTGGTCAGTGACTGGACTGACGGCCACAGGGTTGGAGGGCCACCCGAGGACCGAGTGTTGCTCAAGGCCTGGAGCTGCGTGTGTGTAAATAAGCCTGGTAGACAATCCCTGCTGCAGAGTTGAGCAAGAAAGCTAAACTGTAAGGAATGTAAGTGTTCTCCGAGGATGCCAAACAATCAAATAACCAATGCCACATGTCGTCCCCGTGCGTCTCCATGGGGCCGCCTTGGAAGTTGATGCCGTCTTGATAGTGAAAATGTGCCAGAGGTAGCAGCAGCAGATGTATTGTTAATATGAAAATGTCATAAAATGCATCTTGATCAACATGCAGTGTATTTAGCCACTTCCAATTCAATGTATAACATTTGGAAATACTAAATGTTTTTGTTGCTGTGTCATTCCCTACATTACTTGATTTATGCATTTTTAATATTGATGATAACATGGAATGGGTGTGTGTTGTTGAACTTTTAATTAATGTCAACATGTTGCCTTGCAGCTTCAAAACAAGAGAGAGCTACTACAAGAGAGCCAGGTAAAGCAGGTGAGTCTTTTATTCGAGAAGAAAATCCTCTCAGGGGCACATTGAATCTTTTGCATGCATGCTTTTATGTGTGTCTATGTGTGTATCATCTAAGCATGCATGTACATGTGAGTGTGTATTCATTTGTTGCTCTGTCTGTTTGCCTGCATCTGTGCTGGAGATGTGCAGGGCGGGTCTCCTGTTAAGGCTTGCCTTTCTAATATTTTTTCAATTTGAGAGAGTGCGAGCAGCCCGAAGGCTGATATAAAAGCAGACTGCAGACTAAGGAGAGGCTGGGGAGAGCTTTGATGCACACCGACAGCAGATACAACAGCCTGCTGTCTTTATAACAACAGGGAGCAGCCAGAATGAAGGAAAACTGACTTTTCAACTTGATTTATCTTGGTTTCCTTCTTTTTCAGCAAGAAACAAGGAAATGTTCTCACTTAATCCACTCTTCTTTCTCTCTGTGTCTCATCAACATTTACCCCTCTTCCAGATATGAAACCACTCGACTCCAGATTCTGTATTTTCTGATTTGTTTAACTGCTGTTATTTGAAGGCTCAGAAAGCTAACGTGTAATTTGGCTTGATTCCAATTCTTTCCTGATGTGATCGTCTGTGTATGTTGCATGTGTGTGTGAGAGAGAAAGTGTGTATGCATCCAGTTGTTTTTGTCACACTGATTATTCCCGTCAGTGTGACATTTAGGTCTTTCTCTCTGTAAACACTCTTGGGTATAGTGTCTGTCTGAGCCCAGCCAACTCATTACACATAGATCAAGTGGGAATGCAACATTTGAGAGAGGAGGAGGGATGGTGGGAGAGGGAAAGAACTGGTTGGATAAACAGGGTGGTGAAAAGCAGAATAAACTGTAGATTTGTGGTGTGCCAGCACTGGAAATAGCAGCGATTGCATCAATATTTGGATTCAGCCAAAGTCCTTCAGTACCTAAGCAGTTCACTGCAGCCCTATCTCCTCTTTTATGATCAGCATATTGGTAATGTTAAACACCAAATGCTTTGCCCTAAAACCCATTTTACAAATTCATTCACAGGCTGGAATCATATGCAGCCGACGACTGACAAACAGCAGTTAAACTAATGCCGTATGACCACAAATAGCGCGGGGGTTTCCTGGCAGATGCTAAAAGAGGTGTTACAGTCATGTAAACGGCCGCAAAGTCAAGATCGGTCATTAGTGGTTTATCGTAAATCCGCATCATAAATACGCTTTTTGAAATGGCATTTCCATCCGTTAAGTGAGCAGGGTAATAACATGTCTGCCCCAGTCATTCACACTGACTATGTATTTTTATCCACCAAGCATGCTTAAGAAGATGAATGGCTGGCTTAAAATACTTGCATTTAATGTAAGATCCTGATTTTGCAATGGAGAATTCATTGTTAAAGCAAATGAGTTTAAGCTGGAGCCAACCATTGTAGATGCCCTGACTCATGCACTAACAGAGCTTTGCTTTGAGCAGAATGAGTGACCTACACTGAGGTTAACCACACCTACAGCCTTGGTTTTACCCTAAGCGGCTCAAGACCTCCATCCCCGTCTCCCTCCCACCACAAATCAAACAAACAGAGTCCAAACAAACACTGAGCTCGATTCTCCCACTGTTAATTGGTTTCTCTCAGACTTGGCTACTGGGTTCTTCACCCCTTGTATCTCTCCCACCTTCAAACAGCTCTCATGACTCAAATGCAGGCGATGGATGGATGGAGAAAAGCATCAGGGGCAACTGCTCCTCATCTTCTCATTCATTTGAACTGACCTCAATCTGTCCTCCATAGCATAATCATCTCCCTTGTTGCATGAAGGGAAACCATGGGAATATATGACCACTAAACTTCTGATTTTGCTCCCTTTTTCTCTTACTGTAAGACACACCGTCTTTCAGCTTTCAACACACACACACACACAACTCTCTCTTTTTCCTTCTCCTCTCCTCTACTTCTGATTCCATCCTTCTTAGCCGGGCAAAGTGCAAATCTCACTGAGTTAAGTGTTCTTAAGCTTACTCTCGTAATTGTAGTCTCCTTGCAAATATTCTCCAATCTAAATGCAGATGAGACCGGCCTAGTGGTGGATCCGCAGCCTGCCGGCGACGAAGAAGGTGAGATATTGTTTGTGCGTTTAATGCGATACCACTGAGTGACTCAATTGTTAATTGTTAGGATGTTTGTGTAAAACTAAAAGGACAACTTCAGCATGACTTGTATGTTGCTCTTAAGCCTCCATAAGCTACTGGTAATACCATCAAGCAAGCCAGTAACAAAGAGCGGCAGTCATGACAAGTTGTGTCACTCCATAAGAATTTCACTTTTAGCTTTTCTTTTACTTATTTACACAAGGAATTTACTTAGGTGCTTAGCTTTGGTTAATTCATGCTTCAAATCCACTACATTTTGGGAGAACTATTGTGCTTTCTACTCAGCTAAATTATCTAAAAGCTTTATTTACTGGCTGCATTTCAAAGATTAAAACATCCCCCCCATGTAAACTAGTTAAAAGGGCCCTATTATGCTTATTTTCAGGTTCATATTTATATTGTGTGTGTCTACTGGGACATGTTTCTGTGGTTTAATGTTCAAAAAGGTGTTTATTCTTTCTCATACTGCCTGTGCTCCAGCACCTCTTTTCACCCTCTGTCTGAAACCAGAGCCCAGTCTGCTCTGATTGGTTAGCTGGCCGGCTTGGTCAACTGCTTAGTGTGTCACGTACAATGGGTTGGAGCTCTAGCCAATAGAAGCACTAGTGTAACATAGGAATGTCACTATGTTACTGAAGTAAACAAAGGAGTCCAATGGAGGCGATTCCTGTTAAGCCCCGAGCCTGTTTTTCAGGTTTCAGGGTCGAAAATGACATGCCCAAAACAAATTACTACAACTTCACTTCTAAAAGGGTTATATGAATAATTTCTTTTATCAAAGCAAGGTTACATCTGTGAGTTGGATGTAGAAGTGTCAGAATCAATATAGATTTTCTCAGTCAGAGTCAATTCAGATGGAACATAGTAAAAAAAGGTAAATTCTTACCTCCGCCTAAAGAAAAAACATTACTTATAGTGAAAACCACCCTTGAATGATGGGATGGTAGACTAAAAGCTTTAGGAATCCAAACTATAACATATAATAAGTACCCTGTATCAAGATTGAGGCAAAACAAGTTAAATTTGACCTTTTTAGAGAGGTTTAGCAAAAAAAAGGTTCCAGGCGGAATAAGCTTTCGGCACATTTGGGTATATCTGGTTCCATCAGTGCCATTTGACCTTTTTCAAGTACCAGACTATAAAAATGATGTATTACATTGAATTATCACCATAGGTATTCATTTCATCCAAAGAAAAAAAAATTAAATAAAAAAAATTAATTCAAAATTTAAAAATTTAAAAAAAACTTTTTTTTTTTTTTTTAATTTGTGAAAAAAAGAAAGACCCGCCGACGGGGGCTTTGGGGCTTAACAGGCAGGGGTGGGCGATAAACTCCTTCTGGGGAACTTTGGGATTTTAGCCTTTGCCGGCCATTTACATGCGCAAAAACCTATTTAATACAGTACAGGAAAGGGAAAACCACACAAAGCATAAAAGTGGCTATTTAATATCAGCTCTAGCTCAACAAGCTGCAACATTCAAATGTTTTTTAATTGAAATAATCTAGAAATATAAACCTCTCAAAAGGGTAAATCTGTTTTAAGGGTTGAGTTTAGTTATGATACTTCAAATAAGCTAATACATCTGTGAGTATTTATATGTTATGATATCCGTTGAACTTCAAATGGTAGAGAAACCACTTCCTACATTTCAAGTTCAATTAAGATACTCTCCATCACTGTGAATTGGAAGCAGATGATCACATTGAGCTAAGATGCACTTTTATATTGTGAAGGAAGCAACATATTATAATTGTGATCGCCAGATAATACAGTGGGCTACTTGCAGACTCTTGTCGCTGCTTTATTTCTGGTCACAGCTATCATATACGATTTATTTCCCACCTGCACTGCAGCAGTTTGAGAACCGGTAACCTTGATGTACATTTTACAGTCTGTGAGTTTTGGAACCCCCAGGTTTGGCTCAGATGATATACGAGTGTGTTTTCTATTGGAGCTAATAAAGCTGTCTTGGTGATTTCTTTCAGACATCATTTCCCAGTACCCCACTCTGTGGACGGAGCAGGTCCGCAGCCGACAGAACAATAGAACACGAGCACCATGTGAGTTTCAAAGACCATTTTTTATTTAATGACGGCGATCGGGTGTTAGCAAACCTCAACTGAAAGCACGCTCTGTGTTTTTTCCGACTTGTGTGAGCAATCATGGTTTGAGGCTGTTCTTGTCTTTTAAGGACAGATGGTGGGTTGTGAAAGCAATACATCTTGGTGTTGGAGTGCGTCAGGCTTAAAGGATCTGCTTCTCTGTGGTTCCTCGCGTTGCAGCGTATCTGTAATTATCAGCACATGGCACAAACACAGGATCTCCTATTCTTCTGCCTGGTCGCTTCTGGTCTCCTCTTACACACATGCCCGTTTATCTCTTTGTACAGATCAGTTGCCTCTTGGCTCTTAGGGGAAATATGTTGCTTTCTGAATAAAACAATGCAATTTTGAGGCTTGCCTGGAGATGAGAACCCTGCGTGCATTTGTGTGTGAATACCATTATCATAATTTACAGCCAATAAAAAAAACCTGAGAAATGCAGCATTGATGGTTTTGATTACCATGTGCTCTTTGGGGTATTGGGGTGGAAAAAAAACACCCGCCTCAACAAAGAGAGCCCATACGGATGAACTGGAGCGAAGAGAGTCGGTTGAGAAAGCGGGGAGGCATTTCATTTGGTCGCTTTTGTGTGGGTAAAGAGCTCTAATGAAAATAAACAAAGAAAAGGGATATCCATAATCCCGCAGTAGCTTCCGAGCCTCGAGGGCGAAGCAGTGAAGGGAGGGAGAGATTGGTGATGAAAGCCCTCATGGCCAGAAGAGCTCTACTTTCATCCCTGAGTTTAATGCTCAAATCTCAGTTGGAGAGCTGCACGGCAGAGAAGGAGGCTGCTGCAGAGGAACGTCTGATTAGATCCTGCTGAGGCTCTGCAAAACCCCATGGAAGCCGCTGCATTCTCCATACGTACGGATACAAGAAAGGATCATGAAGCATCGCATTTTCCCCTAGAATTCTGAACATGTAAACATATAGATCCCTGGTGCTTTATAGTACCCTGCAGTGGTGTGTCAGACAGTGAGTGTGGGTGTGTGGAGAAGAAGGCCCCGACTGACCACCGCTATGCGTTTGTCTTGTCTGTTTCTCTCTCTGTCACACACATCCACAGAGGGCAGCCGTGTGTCCAAATATTTACTTAACTTGGGGCATAGGGAGCTGTACTTAGTCATTAGCCTGTTAATGTGTGTAAACAGTGCCACGGGGGGCTGATATAACAGTCTACACACACTGTCTCCGAGCACTCCACCCCTTTGTCTTCTCCAGCCTCCTCCACTGCTTCAGGCACGTTAGAGTGTAATGAGAGAGCAGTGCATGTATTTAGTTTTAAACAGAAATTAATTTAAACACACTGTAATTTGTATAAATCCAAAATGTGTAAGCCATATCTGACTGGAAGTCATTCTTAACATTAAACAAACCCTCTTCTTCACGTCAAGTGTGTGTGTCTGGGGCGTGTGTTTGCCAAGTCACACAACCAAGACCACCTAGGTGCATGCTGTCTTTATGGGTGGTGAGTGTGTGTTTGGATGACCAACCTCTGCCTCCCACTGATTCCTTTAAAGAGATGCATTGTTTATTCGATTAATCGATAAGTGGATCAAACTAAAATGTTTTCCTACTATGTTAATAATTATTCTTTAAAAAAGGCAGAAAATGCTGTAGCCTCTCACATATGAAGATTTCCTGCTTTTTTATATCACAATAAACTGAATATTTTTGGGTTTTGATCTGACTGAGAACATTAGATGGACGATCAATCTAGAAAATATTTAGCACACATATCCAAATAAAGAATGAAATACTGGTTTCCAGTCCTCACCTCTGACCCCTCTTCCCAGCCTCAACATGTGACCAGGAGCAGCAGTCCGCCCAGGAAGAGGCTAGGCAGCACAAGAACGATGCTGTGTTCATACCCGACTGTGCCCAAGGAGGACTCTACAAGGCGGTCCAATGCCACCCCTCCACCGGCTACTGCTGGTGTGTGCTGGTGGACACTGGACGGCCCATACCTGGGACCTCCACCAGGTGGGAGAGACCTCACCTATGGTACTTTCACCCTCATTTACACAAATTATTGGAATTTATTGCTTGGTTCTTTGTGACAGACAAACCAGACAGTTGTTAAACAGGTAAGAGATCATTAGCAAACCAAACACAGAAGAATGGACAATTGAGAAGACCTGGGTGACCCTGCTTCATGACCTTTGTTGGCAAATGTGTAAACTAGACGTACTAAGGCATAATTGAGCATTATCTCTATTGCAGGTCCAACAACCATGTAAACATACCTCTATTTAGAAGAAACTGTCAGAACTCAAGCAATACAAATAAAATGCACATTAGTCTGCCATTAGCAGACGGATAGACATCTCCATTGGCCATGAAACAGAGTGACTCAGTGGTCTGTGGAGCGGCAGGTCAAAGGTCAGTCAGGCTGGCATAGTTGGGCACTGGTACACTCTTATTGAGCAGCGAGGCTGGGTATCAGATTAACAAGGCTTCAGGCAGAGTGCCAGACAGCACATTAGCACGCATATGGAAGCATGGATTTCCCCCCCCCCCCCCTTGTCTCCCCTTGTTCCAGCCCAGCTTTTGGCCCAGTGGCACGGCGGCAATCGAGGCACCGCCGGCTCGCCAAGGGAGGCCGTGAAAGCTTCCTTGTGTCCCACGCTCCCTGTCTGCCTCTATCTCTCATTCTCACCCTCCCTCCCCCCTTTTTCTGTTCCTCATCCTAGCCCCAAATCCTACCCCGCTTTGTGGATGTGATTCACAGCCTCTGGTTTGCCACAAAACAATTATTTGAATCCCTGAGATTTAACTGTACACCGGTAATTGGAAAACATTGCATTCCGCTCTGATTGTACAAACAGGATAGTTTTACTGAAATTAACAATGTGTTTTATCCATTTCATTTCAAGTGAATTGGCATTTTCTGATGTGGCGTATTCTGTGTCACAGGTATGAACAGCCAAAGTGTGACGGAAATGCCAGGGCCCACCCAACTAAACCTAAGGACCATTACAGAAGCAGACATCTCCAAGGTAGGTATCTAAATACTGGACCCAGTCTCTGTTTATCCTCTCTGCTCAGACCACATGGAGAAGTTCTTCAGCAGTCGACCTCCAACTGCTGCCGTGCTTCCAAGGTTGTGATAACATTGCGGGGGTGTGTGTGTGTGTGTGTTTGTTGACATCATTAGCACTGTTGGTCAAGGAGATGCTTGATAAAGAGTTGAGGATTGCCAGATACCACCCCTCACTGGTCAATAAGCACGGAGACAGAGACGGATTGGGGGGAGGATTAATCTCAATTGACATGGGAGATGAAAGATAGTGGGATGATAGCAAGGAGGAGAAACAGCAGGCAGCAGAGGTAGAGATAAATGGATAATAGGATGCCAGAGACAGGTAGTGATAGAAAGACTGACAACTGTTTGGATAACTTAATTGAGTTTGTGGGTGGTGGGCTTAGGTGTAGCAGGTGAGACTATGTTTGTGGTCAAGAATGCAGAACTTACATTTTGCTATATTCTAGTGGTATTTACAAATGGGAAGCACTACAAATGGATTAAAGGATTGCATCATTTTGAGGGAAACTTTAAAAAAGAATAAAGCAGCACTCTGTGTGTTCTTCCAAGAAAAACAACCAAAGTAGTCTTTTCAGAAAATGCTACCAAAACAATAATGTTTACACTCAAATGATAAAGCATGGATCAATAGAACCTCAGACTATGACATGAACACTATGCGTTTCCCATGTATTACCATGTTGGTTTCGCTTATACATGACCACCTTCAATCGTTAATCGGAGTCATGTATTTCTTCTTTTTTCTTTTTACCAAAACCCTGTTCTTCACCCTAACCCTAATCCTAACCCAAACAAACAATAACCTTATTGATATTACATAACAAAATGTATTGGTTTGGCATTGATAAGATGTGTCCTGTCAATGTGGGGTGTTAGATCATCAGTGTTATTTTTGAAGGGCCATTACACAACGTATTTCAATTTGAGGGACTTTAATATGCTTTGTTTTATGGCCATTATTCCACCAACTGATCTAATGCAGAATCATACAAGCACTTTGCTTAGCTTTACAATGGAGCCCACATGAATGATTAAAACTACTAATTAAAACAACTTAGAACAAGCTTATTGGTATCTTAAGTACTATACCAATTTAAGTTAAAACTGTTCACAAAACCATTATAAATGTCCACTTTATTTTGCTGAGCATCTTCCAGTTTTAACTTTCACCAATTCCACTGACCGTAGTTTTGCACTTTGACAGTTTTACAATGCAGTGGATGGAGTGCCTTTACCTTTGTTTTTATTACATTTATAAATATGCAATGACTTGTCCTCCTCATAAAACCAATGATAGGCAAAGTAGAGTTATTGCTCTTGCTGCTGAATACAACCAAATCACAGTTTAAAGCTTAACGGTGCTTGGCAAATTTGTTGTTTTTTTGGTGGTTTGGTAAACATGTTAATAATCCTCCAGCAAATGAACAGAGCTGCCACTGTTCCCGTCCCATCCACGAGTGTTTATGTAAGAGTGTGCCTGGCCAGAGCTGCCCTCTGCTCGCAGGTGCTGCATTTAGCAGCAGAGCAGCACTCAGTACACTGGCATCGAGGACTTCTGTACAGTGTGTATTAAACATTAGGATAGACAGTTATGGATGAGTGCTCCTGAGACACATGTTACTCATCTTAGCCAGTGGCACTGCTGGTGTGTGTTATTGGAAGATATTGAACAGGAATAATGACAGTGTGTAACTGCGGAAAGTGTGAAGTGGCGATGGGGTGGAGAACAGCCACAACTGTCCCATGAGAAAGACTTGAGGTCCCAACCAAACACCTCCTAAACACATAGTGGAAGGACAGAAAACAATATACTCCTTCAGCCATGCAATCACCTAACACACGCTCAAACCAGAACACAGACTTCTTTCTATACGTGTCAAAAAACCTGCACCATATCAACCAGGTCTCCCATTATAAAACACGCACGGTCAAAAAACACAGCGTCTTGTTTTCTTTATGAGCAACGGCTGTAAACCGTGTTACTGTATAAACCGGGGATAATTATAAATGTTGCCTTCACATTGCTGCAGCCCCATTTGCTGTTGAAGCGCTGGTGTTGAGAGGTTTATGGGGCGAGATGCGAGAAAGGAGAACTTTGCCCTGAAAGGGGCAGGAGGAGGAAAGCGGAGTATTTGGCAAGCTTTCTCCCCAGAGATGGGTCATGGGATAGCACTGGGGCAGCCATTGGGAGCTGCGGCTGTGAGTGCTGACAGGACTCTGCCCCATGTGGCTCTGTAGAAAAACACTGCTTCTTATTGACAGTAGCATACGGGCGCACACATGCAAACATGCACTTACTGGCCAACTTTTCACAGGCAGCAGATATATGGAGGCGTATGAATACTGGTGCTGACCTTAGCTTTTCAACAAGAAAACTCTTTAATCACTTGAGGCTTTCTTAACTTCATTCCATCCTGCAGCTGTCAAATGTGGGCATTACATAATTATAATCATTATGGAGTAAGACAGTATAGTCTTATTTTGCTGCAACCATGAAGGGAATGGAAAATGGCCTCAATTTCCTCTGAATGACAGCAGGAACATTTGTGTCCTTTAGCTAAACGACATCCAGACAGACATAAGCTGATCTGTCCCGCCACAAGAAAAATCTTCTGTTGCCAGAGGGACGGGACTGTAGCCTAACCTGATGGCTTCCCATTATGAATGGAAAACTGCAGACATGCACAGATTCCTGCAGCATTACGGAGAGGACGTGCGCTCTCCATGAAAAACACTAATCCTAGTCCAACTGCATCCCACAAATCTCTTTTCAGCCAGATAAAAACACTTTGCCTTCTGAGGGTGCAATTGTATGACTGTCTAGACACATTTACCACAAGAGCCTCCACAAGGCACCGGTTTAGCCATCAACAGGTGGTCGGATATTTTACTGGGCTTGGACTAGGGAGGGCCCACTAAAACTTAAGCGCAGGTCTGTTCAATATGTAAATGAGGCTGTGGAACAGTTTGGACATGTGGATGTTTCAACCCCCTTGGCCCGGTGCAGACAGCTAAAGCTCCGCGCTAGTTGTGAAAGGTGGAGTGGAGGTGGAATGGAGGTGGAGAGGAGGTGCAGTGTCGGGTGTTTATGCCGATGCTGGTCGCCACCTGTTAGAGAGGAGCAAAGCATGCTATTATCTCCAACACAGGAGAATCTGGCCCCGCAGGCCTGGGCCATAAAAACAAAGTGTAGCAAACTGGAGAATTTCTTCTTCTCCACAGGCAGGATAGCAGAGGGAAGCCGGACTGTGAGAAAGCAGAGGGTAGTCGAGGAGAGGAATCTCTCTCAGGCCTGCGTAGCCTTCAGCTCTTCCAGAACAGGCTCAGCCTCCTCACTCTTAAAACTATACGGCCACACGCACAATTACTATCATTAGGGTCTTTCCACCCCAGTTGTCCCTCTTTTTAATCTTTTTCTGCCGTTCTGCGAGTAATAAAGCTTCTCTGTTGGTTTTAGCTTGGTAGGTAATGATAGATTTTAGTCTCTTCTCAAATAGTAATCCCACCTCACACAGAAGAGCAGGTGTTGAGTTGTGTCTCTGGATGCATACCTTTAAATCCGACATCCCTCAGACTCAACCCAGGACCAGTGTCTGTCAGGATTGTATTTGGACCCCTTGATGTCTCAGGTGAGTCTCAGGCGCTGTATGGAGCTTCTTGTCCATACATACAAGATGAAGTAACATCTTCTCTGCTCCAGCTGTCAAAGCCACTCGGGGGCCTCCAGCATGATTGGCAGGTACCCTCTTCCTCCTCCAGATAAGGGGAGGTTTGACACTTTATGAGAGGGAGTAAAAGTCGACTCAGAGAGTCATGTTTGGGTTTATTTCCCTCTTCGGCCGTCTTGTTCTCTCTAAAACTACAGTGCCTTTTATATGACGTCCCTCCCCAAACATTTATTAGGCCACCTATGACTGCAGCATTCCACATTGTAGTAATGCTGTTGACGAAGGGATACTTTTTCCATGTTTGCTGACATATGAGTACATTTATTTCCATATGATTCAGGTATCTGTGGTTTTATTTTCCAGGCTGTCCTGGGGCAAAGAAAACAGAATTCCTGACAAGTGTACTTGACGCGCTGTCAACAGACATGGTGCACGCCGTCACAGATCCAGCATCAGCCGGAAGGTATGGCCTTTGGAAATAGATTTGTCCATCTTACAATTATGAATGGACACCAGTGGGTTTGTTTGTGCTGTGCTGCAGCTGATTTTAAGAAAGCTTTTGATCTCCAGTGACAATACTTATTTCACACAGTTAGATAAAGTGATTATTAGCTCATGAACTGATATCTGTCATTTAGGATGGCAGAGCCAGACCCCAGCCACACCCTGGAGGAGAGGGTGGTCCACTGGTATTTCAGTCAGCTCGACAAAAACTCCAGCGGGGACATTGGAAAGAAGGAGATCAAGCCCTTCAAACGCTTCCTGCGCAAGAAATCCAAGCCAAAGAAGTGTGTGAAGAAGTTTGTGGAGTACTGCGACATCAGCAACGACAAGGCGCTGTCTCTGCAGGAGCTGATGGGCTGCCTCGGGGTGACCAAAGAAGAGGGTGAGCTAAACAACACGTCTGCTTGTGTTCTCCTGCAGCATATGTATCTTCTCACTTACACATTGAGGGATACAATTTAATCATGACAGCAGTCAGATGATATATGAGAAACAGGGATGCAAGGTTTTTATTTAAATTGACTGTTAAATATCCCAAAACTGACACGCATTGATCGTATGGTTGTTGAGGTTTTTTTTCTGTCTCATAGGGGCCAAGCCAGGAGAGAGTTTACCTTCCAGTAAATTAGTAAGTAAACCATTCTTCCCATACTAGTGGATACAATGGCTTCTTCTGCAGTCCAACAGTATCATTGTTTTAATTCAAACAGTCAAAAGTATGAAGAAAAACAAAAGCATGTTTGAAACTCACTTTAATTTCCTTTCCTCAGAATCCCTCGAAGAAGCAAGGCTAAGCATCTGAGATTTCCCCTCCAGCACGGAGAACCTGCCCTCACCAATCGGCAATAATGGAAACCATAGTATTTGCACTTTGTACTTTAAAATAAAAATGTAAATTCACTTTGTAGAAATAAGGTATTTAAACAGACTGCTGAATCTGTGAATGATGTAGTTAGCTTTTGATGTCCTGACAAGCAAACATTATTTAACACATACAATGTATGTGTCCTTTGTGTGTCTAAAAAGTATACTTTTCAGAGTTGTACAAGTTTTCATGTTTGATGTTGCATTTTGTGCCCCTTCCCCGAGTGTAATTTTCTCCTTACTTTGATGATGGTAATACGGATATATGGATAGTTTGCTACAATAACTTAGACCACGCCATCTCTCATGTACTGACCTATAGCTTCTTCTCTTGTGCTTTGTACAGCAGTTTGCAAGAATGTTTTAAACAGACATCATAAAAACGTCCTCCATGTCCACATGTAATCGTGTTTATTAGGAATAAAGAACTCTTTTATACATGTTGTTCTCTGTGCGTCTGCCAGTCTTAGTTTATCCGAGGTTAATTGGGTCAGCAAATTCCTTTGTTTCTCTCCAATCCAATTAGTGTTCCTAGTTTTCCTTCTCCTCACATAAATCATGTAATGTCGGCCGTTTAGTGTTTTCTCGCTGTGTCTCTAATAAAACACCTTGTTGACACAGTCTTTATGAGCCAAGTATTAGTCATACATAGCAAACGTCGTGTATCATCTTATTTTCAGACTCTTGCCAATTCCCCTGAGGCAACATTTGAGAATTGGAAAAAACGGATGGTACACTTATGTTTGTTCTCGTCACAGATTTCCCACGTAGACTGAAGACAGATAAATGGTCCAATTTCTGCTGTGTGTACTACGGGTGCCCATTAAAAGGGCGTTATATGAGCCTGTGCGTGAGTGTGAACATGTGTATTTGCATAAGGTATACTTACATGTATACAGTAAATGTACACTTGAGCAGTAGCTTAGGTGTGAATGGATTCTTTCTTAAAGAACAGTGCTCGGCGCAGGGCTGCCTCGGCACATTATACTACTGTACATTGTTCATGCCTGATTATGTTGGGGCTTCTAAGCCGGGGCTTTTCACACAGAAAGTCCCCTATAGTGCTGAGCGACTGACCTCAGACTGACCTGCTCACTCAGGCAAAGCCTCTAATTTATGATTAACACATCAGCCTTCTTTCTGCGATATAATCCAACCAAATGGTCTGGTTTGAACACCCCAGGGGAACACAGAGGAGAGATTATGTCTGCTCTGAAATGGTGGATTAGTGATGGATAACCTATGGCCTTCTTAAGCACTTTCACAGCACAGGCAAAGTTAAATCTGAAGCAACAAGTGCTCCCCCTGAAAACCCAACTCATAAGAACAGGCTAACCAAGCCTTAATGCATCTAAAATCATTCAGTGTTTAATATTTTCTTGCTAAAACAAATTCTTCTCATTATAAACTTGCAATTCAGCTCCATCTCATTGCTACATGCCTAATTTACACCCATGTTCCCGCTCTAAATCCCACTGAAGGTGATGTTAGCACCATGCCCAGAACAACATTTGCTTTTCCCAAACAGCCATGCAATCTGTTAATGTGGCCGTGATGGTTACAGGTGTATGAGCGCAGAAGCTTACTGCTGCTTTCCTCGTCCAACAAACTCCTCAACCTTCCACGAAACCTCTAGCCAACCCCTCGACTGCTGCTGGAGCTCCAGCACCCGCCCAACACAACGCTCAACCCTTGTCATGTGTGATTTCTACTCCCCTGGGCTGAGATGCACGTAAACACCTTTTACGATTTGGCTGGATGTCAAGGCATGGTTTTCTGAATATGTTCCCCTGATGGCTTGGACTCTTGCCTGAACTGATGGAGTAGCTGAAGAAAAGCATCCAAGCCTTTTGGCCCGGTTACCAGGACAGTCTCACGATCGGCTCAGCCTCCCCCTCTCCAGCTCCTCGGTCCTGCGTCCTCACTTCTCTCCCTCACACATGCACAAACACACTCCCTGAGCACAGAGATACCATTGAGCGGGATTTGTGGGCATAGTTTGTTTGCTTTAATGGCCGAGAGGAGGCACCCGATCTCACCACTGGCAGGCCCCTGTGGGGCTGTGGACTCTGTGGAAATTACTGTCAAAAGCCATCAGGGCTTTATAGTCTCTGGCCCTCAGAGGGGCTCTGGTCTGTGGGTAAACAGCGTGAGGAAGGCCTGCACCCTGGGACCCTCTCTCACGCTCTCACTGCTTCCCCTGGTGTGGCCCAAACACCCCGGCCAACGCCGCAGGACTTTGCCGGCCATAACACTCAAAAAAATTAATTGCTAGAGGAGGTGTGACTTTTTAATGGATGGGGTGCAGAAGAAAAACAAGTGGTGTTAAGTGTTTGTAAGGGGCAAGGCGCGCTAACACAAGGAGCCTTTTCACAAACTGCCTCTCTCCCCAAAATGACCTTATTGGTTACGGGTCAGCAATAGTTTGATATTTTACACATATTTGCTTTGCAGTTAAAGATGAAATAAATCTTCCGACTCACATGTCTGTATTATATATATATATAAAGGCTACAGCCATCTGCAGATTAGTTTAGCATAAAGAAAAACACTTAGCCTGGCTCGGTCCAAAAGTTAAAAAAATATGTATCGTCTTTGTTTATTCGTACATAACCAAATAACAGCTTGTGCTTTTTTTATGAGCCAGATCATTTGGCTCAGCTCAGCGATAAGAGCCGGCTTTTCCAGCTCCCAAATGGCTTTTCATATAACACTTTTAGACTTCTGGCTTTTATAATTTAGTCAAATTTAGCATTAATATGATTGGTATGTGTGCCCATATAACACTTACATTTGTCAATGTAATTATACCTAACTTTATAATTTCCTAAACACCATCATTTTACATAGACAAATCTCACGATGCTTGGATCTTCATTTGATTACCAAAGTGAGGCGTTTCTTATTAAACAATAAAGTTATAGGATCATCCTATCATTCTGCCTTATATTAATGTAACCGAACCATTACTTGTGTTTGTACAAGAGTGGGTCTACTCCTTGGCTGTATGGGGACCGTTTTCTATTCCTTTTTTTTTTACAGATTAAACAAAAAGTGATCATGATTATATAGTAATCTTAAAATGCTTGTTAGGCATTTTAATATTCTTTCAATGCAAACACAACTAGACCTTTGTGCAAACCACATAATATGCCATCAATGGTTTTGTCTTGAATAGAAAAATGTCTAAAAGAAGTACTGTATATATTTAAAAATGATACATAGATATACGAGCCATCTAAATAGTTTCCTATTCCGTGCATCAAATGCCTAGAAACTACTGTTGTTTTCCAGATTGCTGCTCAGTTATATCAGCCTTCCTGGCTTGAGAGCATTCAGTCATTCCTGACAAACAGATCAAATGATACGCTGGAGATAGAGTGTCTGAAGTCCCGGGGGAACAGCGAAGGGAACGTCATCCCCTGCGCTTGTCGGGTGAATTGTGCAGCTTTTCTCATTTATGTGTTCCAGCTGAATGGGGTAGCTGCCAGGTTCAGGATCTGGCCTGCCATCAGAATTTCCCGGCTTGATAAAGAGACTCTTGTGTGAATCACGGTTAATAGACAGTGGGACAGAAAAAACTGTGATTCTGAGAGAGTGATATGGGCAATTAGAGGAGTGAAATTTCCAGTTGACAAGAGAAAGAGCTGTGTATGTGTGCATGGCCTTCACACCTCCAAACACCCACTAATTACACAAGGACCACATTGACAGAATAAGTAGCAAAAAACGGTGAATTGCAAATGAATAATGTCACAGTAAGAACGTGTGAAAGTTTGATATACATGACTGAGCAACCACAAATCTTTGACATTTCCGTCCAAAACAGGTCTTTACATCTGGACATAACAATATTTGCTTTCATTCTTGAATATTTGGGCGGATTAAAACCTCTGGGCCTGGGAGCTGGAGGGGGGGGGGGGGGTGTGCATGCGGGGGGTACTCGTCCTTTAATCTCATTCTCACAGTGTCTACCTTTGACATAGCAGTATCCCATTTGAGCCTGACCAGGGCTGAGAGGGAGCGCCGTGAGGAAGGGGCAACGATGGGAGAAAGGGAGAGAAGCAATGAGGGGTACTGGAGGTATAAGGAGGGAGGGAAGGAGGTGGGGGGGGGGGGGGGGGGGGGGGGGGGGGGGGGGCGTCTGTCGGGCCTAAACCCAAGGGATTAACGGGGTGACTTCTCCTCTGGAATGTTCCACTGACAGCCAAGACCCGCCCACCCACAGCTGCCTGCTACAGACAGGTGCACGGCCGAGGCGAGGCGGGTGGTGGGTGGATGGGTGAGGCTGAGGTGGTGGGGAGGAAAACAGACTTCCATACCGCCGACTGACAAGTATATCAATACACAATTAGGCAAAGGATCCTCTCGATAGTGTTTCAAAGCAATCTCAGCTGTGGCGTGGAGAGATAATACCGCCTTAAAAACTTCAATCTGTGCCTTAAATCGTAAAAGAATCAACAACTCAAAAAACAAATAAGCTACAAATTCGGGTCAAAATGCTCACAAACAACTTTCTAAGCAGCTTTAAGAGTCAGCTGAGCCTGTGACCTTGTACATGTAGAAACTCCTAAGCCTCCCTGAACAAGCTGAATAAGTTACAGATCAACCTCACACACACACACACACACACACACACACACACACACACACACACACACACACACACACACACACACACACACACACACACACCACACACACACACACACACACACACACACACACCTCTGTGGATCCTGACACCAGAACAATGCATGTGTATCTCAGTCCAGTCATTTAAGCGTCGTGCTGTATACAAAGCAGACATGGCAGCTTTCAGTAACACACACAACAGTAGGTGAATTCATTGGTCCCACCATAATTTATGTTTGGGAATGTACGAGAGCTTGCTCATGCTTGCTGCGCCGCACTCATAAGTATTACTTAGCAGAAATTGAAGACAAAGGATACATTTTTTGCACTATTATTTCCACGTTGAATTAATTCCCTCTAGGTAAATGCAACACTAACACCGTCAGGTTGTGTCAAGTAGTAAAAAAGGACAATAAATACTGCTGCTGATCTGCAACAATCCCATCTTCAGAAGCAAGGTAAAATCCCTCTCAATGTTCCCTTTGAAGCCGGTGGGATTCCTGTAGGTAGTGCGAGCGCGATTGTGCTTCTAAGATGTTTGATTGATAGAGGGTCTGTGAAATCTGACTCTTTGTTTTTGCTCTCTCTTTGGTGACCTGCCCTGCCATGTCTCTCCTGTTTTGAGAATGGTAGTCTATCCAAACATCAGGTGAACACCGGGGCACAATACAGCGCTCAGGTGGTGGGACTCCAGCCTCTGAGAGGTCAAAGGTCATACTCCGGGGTCATTCTGACATCCAGGTGGATGTTCTGGTTTCTAAGATACCAGAAGCAAAAAAAACAAAAGGGAAAACACAGGTGGGGT